GCACCACATAAAAATAAATAAATAAAATAAAAGTATTGTGTCCATCTACAATTTAAAAAATATTTTAAAAATAAAAATTAAAAAACCCTAGTGGACCAAACAAGGTGACACAAATCTGTACTCCCCAATTTGGGAGGCTGAGGCAGGAGGGTCATAAGTTCAGGCCAGGCTCAGCAATTTGGCAAGCCCTTTATCAATATAGCAAGACCCTGTCTCAAAATAAAAATAAAAATGGCTGAGGAAGGGCTAGGGTTGTGGCTCATAGGTGGAGCACTGGGTTTGATCCTTAGCACCACATAAAATAAAATGAAGATATTGTGTCCACCTATAAGTAAAAAAAGGTAAATAAATATTTTTTAAAAATCTGTTTAAAAAAAATGGCTGAGGAAGTTGCTCAGTGATAAAGTGCCCCTGAATTCGGGCTCCAACAGGAGAAAAATCAAAATACTGGTGGTGGGGGGCTGTGGTTTTAGCTCAGTGGTAGAGTGCTTGCCTAGCATTTGTGAGGCACTAGGTTTAATTCTCAGCACCACATATAAATAAATACATAAATAGATTTAAAGAAAAAAGGTTAATACACACACACACACACACACACACCAAAAAAAACAAAAAAACAAAAAAAAACCCACTGATGGCACTTCATCAACTGCATAATTTAGATGGCCAAATAACTTATCATCTAAACAGGGGCCTTTCTGAGTGACGGAAGCACTATTAAAAATTACAGAGATACAATAGGTATGAGCTGAGAGTCTCTTCAGCAGACTGATAGTTATAGTCACCCTGACAACATAACAAGTCAAGTCCAAGATAAAATTTTGGTAAAGCCATTCTGGAGGCAGTGTACAGATGGATAGAGCCAGTGGCGCTCACCTATAATCATAGTGGAGGCTGAGACAGGAGGATTGCTAGTTCAAAGCCAACCTCAGCAACAGCAACTCAGTGAGACCCTGTTTCTAAATAAAATACAAAATAGGGCTAGGGATGTGGCTCAGTGGCTGAGTGCACCTGAGTTCAATCCCCAGTACTTTTCCCCTCAAAAAAGATGGCTAGAGACACATTTTGAGATGAAGGTGGTAGTTAGAACTGGTTGTGTTGGTGAATACCTGTATTCTGAGCAGCTTGGGAGGCTAAAGTAAGAAGCTGAGACAGAAGGATTGTGAGTTCAAAACCAGCCTCAGCAACTTAGCAAGGCCCTAAGCAACTCAGCGAGACCCTGTCTCTAATAAAATATAAAAAAGGGCTGGGAGCTGTGGTGTGCATGTCTATAATCCTAGCAGCTCGGCTCGGAGGTGAGGCAGGAAGATGGAGAGTTCAAAGCCAGCCTCAGCAACTCAGTGAGACTGTGTCTTTAAATAAAATACAAAAAATAGGACTGGGGATGTTGCTCAGTGGTTAAGTGCTCCTGGGTTTAATCCCTGGTGCCATCCCCCAAAAAACAAATGGTTGTCAGGAATGTTATATAAGGATTATTTTTTTAAATTATGTATTTATTCCAATTTGTTATACATGATGGCAGAATGCAATTCATAATACACATACAGAACACAATTTTTCAAGTCACTGATTGTACACAAAGTATTTTCACACCATTCATGTCTTCATACATGTACTTAGGGTAATGATGTCTAACTCATTCCACCATCATTCCTACCTGCTTGCCCCCTCCCTTCCACTCCCTCCTCTTTGCCCTATCTAAAGTTCCTCCATTCCTCCCATCCTCCCCCCATGGCCATTATGAGTCTACATCCTCAAAGAAAACATTCGGCCTTTGGTTTTTTGGGATTGGCTTGCCTTACTTAGCATTATATCCTCCAACTCCATCCATTTACCTGCAAATGCCATGATTTTCTTTTGTGGTATATATTAAAGTTTCCCTAAGGATTATTTTTGATGTACTTAGGCTAGAACCCAAAACCTTATGCATATTAGTCAAGTACTCTACCACTGAACTATATCTCCATCGCCCCCACCCTGCCACTTTTTTTTTTTTCTTTTTAAGGAGATAGAGTCTCACTCTGTTTCTCAAGCTGGCCTTAAACTCCTGGGCTCAGACATTGCTACCTAAACCTTCTGAGAAGCTGAGACTGCAGGTGCATGCCACCATACCTGGTGACAAAAAACTTCTTGACTCAGTGGTTCCTATTACTCTGGCTCCTGTCTCACTAGTTAGCACCCATTGATTTTTACTCTCTGTTCAACTCTATCACAATCATGTTACCCAACCATACTTGACCTTTGACTTTACCTATTCAGTTTTACACCTCTGTACACTGTAAGTTCTTCACAACCTTCTAGCAAATTCCTACTTAATCTTTAAGACTCAGGCTAACTATTATCCCTGAAGGCTTTCCTTAACTGCACTTTGTTGCCCTCTGTAGAATTGTGGACATAGGGCTTTGAGTAGAAACATAAGAAGCAGGATTGATTTCTCTTTTTTAAGAAGCAGGATTGGGGGCTGGGAGCTGGGGTGTGCATGTCTATAATAGTATAGCTTAGTGGCTTAATATAGTGGCTTAATATTATAATAGTGTAGCTTTGTAGCTTAGTGGTAGAACACTTGCCTAGCATATGTGAGGCACTGGGTTAGATTCTCAGCACCACATAAAAATATAAATAAAGATATTGTGTCCATCTATAGCTAAAAATATTTTTAAAAAGCAAGATTGGTTTCTCTCTTTTTTTATATACAGATATAAAAGAACATTTTAAATAGTGTGTGTGTATGTCATACTTGTCTAAAGAATGATAAAGACAGCACACCCTTGAAAAATTTTGAACTTGACCCAAGTTTCAGGCCTGTTCTTTTATTCCTATCTGAAAAATGAACTTTGTTGACCTTTTTTATATTTTTATATGTGTGATCCTTCTTCTCTCAAGAGGCTTTTTCTCATATTTTCCATATTACTCTATTAGTTTATCAAATCTGTTAAGTAAATAATGAACTAAACTATATTTTATTTTCTATGATTTAAAAAAATTTTAGCATTGAGCAATATGATTAAAATTTGAAAAATACAGAAAGATAACAGACAAGAAATTTACCACTTAGCACCACTTGCTATTTAAAAAAAAAAAGGAGGGGTCTTTATTCCACACAGGTATAATCAGACTTGGAAACTCTTTTTTCATTACCACAACCTTCTTATAAAAATATCCTCTTTCTTGGACACAGCCATATCAATGTTTATAGCAGCACAATTCACAATAGCTAAACTGTGGAACCAACCCAGATACCCTTCAGTAAATGAATGGATTAAAAAATGTCTATATACACAACGGAATATTACTTAGCAATAAAAGAGAATAAAGTCATGGCATTTGCAGGTAAATGGCTGGCATCGGAGAAGATAATGCTAAATGAAGTTAGCCAATCCCCAAAAAAACAAATGGCGAATATTTTCTCTGATATAAGGTGACTAATAGTGGGGTAGGGAGAGGGAGCATGGAGGAATAGAACTCTAGATAGGGCAGAGGGGTGGGAAGGAAAGGGAGGGGGCAGAGGATTAGCAATGATTGTGGAATGTGATGGACATCATTATCCAAAGTGCATGTATGAAGACAGGAATTGATGTGAACATACTTTATATACAAAATTGTGTTTTATATGTGTAATAAGACTTGTGATGCATTCCACTGTCATGTATTTAAAAAAATAAAAGCAATTGAAAAAAAGAAAAGAAAAAGGCTTCAGGACAAAACAAACAAACAAAAATATCCTCTTTCTTTTCTCTCTGCTCTTCTTCCTTTCTCCCTCCAATACCCACTACAAGGATGTAGTAAATGTCCCATGGCTGTATATACTATAATTTATTTAACTTACTGAACATAGATTTTCTCCAATTTTTTTTTTTTTTTGTACTGGGGATTTTACCCAGGGTTGCTTTACCACTGAGCTACATCCCCAGTCCTTTATGTTTTTTATTTTGAAATAGGGTCTCACCAAAGTTGCTGAGGGCCTTGCTAATTTGCTGAGGCTGGCCTTGAACTTTTGATCTTTCTGTCTCACCCTCACAAGTTGCTGAGATTATAGGTATGTACCACCATACCTGGCTCCAAAATTTTTTTTAAGTAACACTAATGAAGAGTATATTTATGCATAATGATTCTCTACGTTTAGGATAATTTATAAAGAATTCTTGGATCAAATTATATCAACAGATACATTACCAAATTGGTTTTGAAAAAGATTTGTACTACCAGGCACGATGGCACACTCTTATAAGCCCAGTAATTTAGGAGGCTGAAACAGGAGGATTGCAAGTTCAAGACCAGCCTCAGCAACTTGGGTAGGCCCTAAGTAACTTAGTGAGACCCTGTCTCAAAATAAAAAATTATAAAGGGCTGGGGATGTAGCTCAGTGACAAAGCACCCCTGGGTTCAATCCCCAGTACCGAAAGAAAAAAGAAAAAAATTTTTTAGAAAGAAAAATAAAAGAAAAAGATTTACACTAAGCCAGGGACTGTGGCACACACCTATAATCTAGCAACTCAAGGCCAGGCAGGAGGATGAGAGTTCAGTGGTAGAGTACCCTGGGTTCAGTCCCCAGCATGGCAATATAGCAAGACCCTATCAAGAAAGAAAAGAAGGAAGGAAGGAAGGAAAGAAAAGAAAAGAAGGTTGGTTATATAACTCAGTTGTAGACTGACCCTGGGTTCAATCCTCAGTACCACCCCTCTCCTCCAGAAAAAGAAGAAAAAATTGGTACTATTTTATACTGCCGTGAATTGTGTGCCTTTTTACCCCTTTCTTTTTAGTTCAGATTGTTGTAATTCTCTTTCATTTTGCTACTTAGATGGACATAGAACATTCTCTACTTAGTATTATAATGACATTTTCCTTTTTTATCTGTCAGTATCTATTAAGTTATGGGGGCCTGGATAATAGTGCTTAACTCTTTATAGTAAGATTGTTATATTATTTATTCAGAGTTGATGTTAGTGTTTAATGAATGTTGGTATATAATGTTGACTACTAAATTCAAAACTCTTTTTCAGACCCTGTAAGATTTGGATATGTCTTTCATATTCGATTGGATTTACAGTGGGTTCAGCAGTGTACTACAGTTTTTAGGTAATGGCGGCCCTTTGTTCTCTATAGTTATCCCATTTAATCTGTTTATATATATAAGTAAGCTTATTTGCATAGAGCCTCTCTATATAAGCCAGTAGTTAAGAATGCAAGCTTTTTTGCTTATTTATTTTTTGTGGTACTATAGGTGAATCCAGTGATGTTTTACCACAGAGCTACCTCCCCAGCCCTTTTTATCTTTGAGACAGGGTGTTGCTAAATTGTTCAGGCTGGCCTTGAGTTTGTGATCCTCCTGCCTCAGCTGCCCAGGCAGCTGGGATTATAGGCATATAATGCCCAGCAGGACTGCAAGGTTTAAAATCATAACAATCACATTAATTATTCATCCCTTTTATCCCTTTCCCCACCCCACCCTGCCAAGAACCAGAGACAATTTACCACTGAGCTACATCCCCAGCCCTTTAGATTTTTTGTTGCCTCTGCTAGTCTCAAACTTGCAATTCTCCGGCCTTAGCCTCCTAATAGCTAGAATTACAGGTATGCACCACTGTGCCTGGCCAAATTAACTTCTGTTAATATATACATACATATGTATGTATGTATGTGTGTGTGTGTGTGTGTGTAAAAATATATGGCTTTATTATTGGAATAATTAACAAACATTTGAAGATATTGCCAGTCTCCTGATTTTCAAATTTTACCCTGCATTTAGTCTCTCTGTAATCATCAATCTTTTGAACTGGATTTCATGGCATAGTTTCAGACAGGTCACAGTGCTTACAGAATTATATCTCCTATATAAATATTTCTTCTTCCATGAACATTTTCTTGACAAAGGAAATAAATTTTGTAGTCGATTGCACATCTGTAATCTAGCTACTCAAGAGGCTGAGGCAGGACTCTCGTAAGTTTGAGGTCAGCCTTGGCAATTTAGTGATACTTTTTCTCAAAATAAAAAAATAAAAAGATCTGGCGATGTAGCTCAGTGGTAGTGTACCCTGGGCTCAGTCCCCAGTACCACACACATAACACACACAAATGCACAAGAAAAATCATAAGCCTCCATTTGAGTATGATGTGTCAAAATGCATTCTATTGTCATGTGTAACTAATTAGAACAAATAAAAAATATTATAAAAAATTAAAGGGGAAAGCAGAATAAAAAAAAAGAAAGAAAAACCATAAGTGCTTAATATCCTAAAAACCTCATTTATTAATTGAGTAAATATTTTTTTGAGCTTCTGCCATGAGTAAAGATAAGTCCTGTGTTCTCTTGCAATTCTATGGGGTTAGAAAACTAAGCACCTAAGAAAGTTGAAGGTTGAGGGTATAGCTTAGTGGTAAAGTATATGCTTAGATTGTGTGAGGCCCTGGGTTTAAGTCCTAGCCTCAAAATTTGATTTTAAAAAGTAAAGTTAAGGCCAGACATGGTGGTACACACCTGTAATCCCAGCTGCTCAGAGGTTCAGGCAGGAGGATCACCAATTCAAGGCCAGGCTGGGCAGTTTATCAAGACCTTGTTCCAAAATAAAACAGAGCTGGAGATGTTGTTCGATGGTGGAATGGTTGCCTAGCATGTGTGAGGTTCTGGGTTTGATCCCCAGTACTAGCAAAAAAGGAATGAAGTTCAATATTTAGCTTTTAAATGCCAGTCTACTATAAATTGGTCAATGCTGCATTTTCAGCATTTATAAATTTATCATTGCCTCATTGATATGTCTAAGATTATACACTTGGGATTTTTGTTTCTGTTGTTATAGCTTAGTTTTATATAATCCTATGATCAACCGTTTAGTCTAATTTAGTAAGTTAAATTAAATTCAACATTAACCTTTTAACTTTTTAGCTGAAAGAATGCTTACTGTTATTTTTTCACCAAAAATACTTGTTTTCATTCATGAAAAAAAATCTGTTTTTAATCAGGCATGGTGACACAGGACTGTAATTCCAATGACTTGAAATGCTGAGACAAGATCAAATGTTAAAGTCCAACTTCAGCAATTTAGTTAGACCTTGGCCCAAAATGAAAAAAATTAATTTTTTTTTTTTTTAAAGGACTGGGTTGGGCATGGTGGCACAGACCTGTAATTCCAGTGGCCCTGGAGGCTGAGAGGAGGATCACAAGTTCAAAGCTAGCCTCAGTAACTTATCAAGGCCCTAAGAAATGTAGCCAGATCTTGTCTCAAAATAAAAAATA